ACAACTGAATGAAATAACATTCACGTAAATGCAACATAACATGTAGCTTTCCAAATCATTACACAAGGAAAATTCTGTCAGTTCTTGATGGATCCGAAATTGTTAACAATTTTTTCTGCCACACATTTTCCTTCTCGATTTCGTTGTGAGTGCAATGCTCCATACTGTCATTCATCATACTTCCTGTGACACCTAATAAGTAGTAGGGAAACAGCCATCATTAAAGAAATATGGGTTTTGTTTATGGATGCCATTTGGTGGCATGTGTTGTTGCTGCAGGTAAAATGATGACTCGGTGATATTAACATTTTTATTTAATACTAGAAAGAATATATATTTCAACAAACGTTCACTCATACACAGTCATATTGAATGTAGTTCACATGATAAGCATTTTTTACAGGTAGCAAGTCCACATAGGTAAAAAATCATAAAAGTCATAATACTGCTATGAAGAAATCATGAAGTGGAAGAGAGGTGAGCGCGTGCTTCACCGACGGCAGCCAGGGACAGAGTTAATGCCATCGTTGCGTACAGTTTCCTTACGTGAAGTCTCATGTGACTACTGATGTCACTTCACTGATTACTTTCCGAGGGAAAACAATCTGTTTTTACTATAAAGGAGTTATGTTAAAGTAGGTTATGGTTACCATCTGCTTTTAAATTCATTAGTTAATACTTATGCTTGGGGTTTTACTAAAAAGGCAAAGTATTATGCATGTTATATGCATGTATTCCTTGAAAACAGCTTTCATATTTTATGTGCAATTTTATGGTCCATTAAAATAATTCCATAGCCTAAGAATGCCCAGTAAAATAATTTCATCCACTAACAATTTCATAGCCTACGAACAAGACAGTGCTATTTAAAATTTAATATTTGTGTTTAATTTCAAAAATTTCTTTTTGGTTTGGTTTATTCAGAGAGGACTTAAGGGCAATCTGCCAAATGGGAGATGCTTTCATGCAGGATTTTCTAAGGCAAACTGTCTCCTACACATGTTACACATTACATGGGGAAAATAATGGAAATGCTCATGTAACAAGCCTGTTTGCCAGGATTTGAACCCCGAACCGAACTACCAGTGTTCAGTGACTTTACTGCTCAGTCATTGATGGCCCTATTCGAATTAATAATAACATTACATGTTTTTAATATGCATAACTCTATGCTTTGTGAGTTACATTTCTAGTTATGTTTATCACATAATTAATAGTCTTGTCTATTTGAGGGCTATATGCCTAAGGGCAATGAGGCTTCATTCAAGTACTTTCTATGCGAAACTAACTCATATCCACATTACACACGGAAAAACCACAGTAATTGTTGTCTTGTCACTATCAATGGTAGCACTTGTACTTGGAGCAAAAATATATTATTTGAGAAATAAATAAATTTTGAAATGAATAAAAAAAAAGAACTGATAAAATGAGTAACATAAAGAAAATCCGGACATAAAAGTATGTCTTTAGAAAACATAAAAGCATGTCTTGGGTCCGTTGTTACCATTCACTCTGTGTAGTGATATTTTCATATTTTATTATTATTCCTTGTAGGTATTGCTTAAATATTTCATGAAACGTGAAAAAATTATGAAACCTTCTTCAAATCTCCTGAAAGGCAAAGTTTTGACAGATACTTTTACAGCCGACACTAGTCAGTTCGTCAGATGACTTCCCGGAAGTGGTGTGTGTTTGAGGGTAGGGGTTAAAAAGAACAGCTTAATGCTTTCAGAGTATTCAAGGAAAGAAACATATGATGCTTTTCAAAAGCTTCATTGACCAAATTGCTAATTTAAGAAAACAACAACCTCTCTTTCTTGAAACCCTGAGAGGGTTAAGAGAAATATTATGTCAAAAACTTTTCAGGAAAATCAACATCTGACCTTAGATGCTTTCCATGAAGATTAACAGACATTGCAGAAGAAAATAATGTGTGGTAGCTTCTGACATAAATTATGCCACACAGTTAAATTTATTCACTGCTTTTGTAATTTTTACAGCATTATGTAGTTTTACAAATATTTTTTAGATTTTGAAATGTTCTGTTATACACAATTATTTGTATTTCCTGTTTTTTTTTAAAGTAAAAACTTAATTACAATCAGATATTTTGAATTTATGAGACTAGCCACTTGCCTGGCCACCAGCCTAAAACAGTGATCATAAAAAAGAAAATTTATATAATGATTTTAACGAGGCCAGTCAAAATAATTAAAAAAAAATATTTATTCAGCATTTCCATTTAGACATCTCATGATTTAAATACATTTTTATTTAAAGCAATCATATTAAAAAAATGTTTTAAACCTGTATTGTTTATTTTTATATTGCCTAGCTTGTTACTGAATAACAAATAGATTAATCTGAAAATTAATATCTTATGCTTTTCAGAAGTCAAACAACAAAAATCAGTGAATCTTATCTAATCATTTCCTATCTTGTTCATTTGCGGTTTTGCAGCTGAGGATGGTGGTTCGGTAAAACCACGAAACTAGTCCTGTGAAAATTTTGTAAATATAACGCTGATTTTTGTTGTTTGACTTCTGAATTAGTATTTATTCGGCGTGTTATTGTGTCTTAATCTTATGCTTTACTAAATGGCAACACAGTGGCACACAGAAGATGAAAGTACTTTATTTCAAGCAGTGCTTTTAATGAGCCAAGTTTGTTGTTTAAAATTGAAAGATAAATATCTCATATATTTTGTTGAATGGCAATATGCTAGTGTGCTGGAAATAAAAATGTTTTATTTGGAAGACTGTTGCCACTGCCTGTTTTCAAATTGCTGCATTATCAAAAATTCATTACACTAGTATAAAATATGAAATAAATTAAAAACAAATTCAAAATTCCAGCTTTGATGTACACATGTCTGGATGTTTGGGGGGAGGAATACAAATACAGTAGAAGTCCTGAAATCCGCAAAGCTTGGGACCAGAGGTTGTGCGGATTTTAGGATTTTGCAGATTTCCGGACAGAAAAGATAAAGCATAATATTCGGACTAAAAGTGCAAAAAAAAAAAAAAAAAAAAAAAAAAAAAATAAGGCATATTAGATACATTTAATTAAATTATTATATATATTACAGTACAAAGTCCATAATCCGGACTCGTCGGAACTTGGGCGATTCCGGATTAGGGGTTTTTCCGAATTATAGATCATCAATTTAAATCTTGTAAGATGTCATGCAGAAATTATACAATTAAAAATATGAAATCATAATTTATGAAATAAAGAGCAATTATGATATAAAGGGTATCAAAATTTACAAAAAAAGCTTAATATTTATTTGTTTACTTTATTAAACATTTCTTTCAATGTAAGTTGTTTAACTTGCTTCGTTTTTTGTGCTAATAATTTCTCTTTAATTCTATAAACAGACATAATTTCTTGTTCAGTTATAAAGTTCTACCTATCGGAAGCGGTATTTTCTGGATCTAGAACCATACTACAGATTTTGCCGTCCGTTAATTGATTGATGAATTGGGCATTGTCGTCGCAATGAAAAACTTCTTGTTACATCATCTTCATTTATTACCGCTTCTCCACATTTCTTTACAAAATCCAATAACTGGAAATTTTCACCTTTAGTTTGCGATGTCCGAAAACCTTCAAATTCGGGGCTATCATCTTCATCGTCCTCACCATGATATATGGCAGCTGGCCATAAATTATGCCAAGCATTTTTTAATGTATCTGGAGACACATCGTCCCAACATGCATGCACAAGCTTAAATGCACATTAACGCGCATGCTTAAAGCATACCAAAAAAAAAAGTTTGTGGCTTTGAGGTTCGGATTGTAGATCATTCCGGATAATGGACGTCTGGATTACAATAATTTATTACTGTATTATAATAATTTATTATATGCATTAAATTATTATTACATATAGAAATTGATTATATTATTCCTTGTATTATATGTACACAGCATCAAGGTTTGCCGATTTCACCTCATGAAAAGATTTTCGGTCTCAGATTCCAGTGTTAGAATCGCTGCTGCTTAAAAATTTCAACAGCTTTTCTTTATTTTTCTGTATATCATACATAATCGTGTTGCAATTCCATACTATTCTAATATAATGAATTAGATGGAATTCTAATATAAAGAATTAGGGAAAGATGGAGGCAAGTGAGCACCTGCCTCCATCTTTCGAGGAATTTGCACTTTTTGCGCTACCATCAATGCAACGTGTTTACGTTTTGCAACACGTTGCAAGCAGCAAAATCATGAGTGTGTTTCTTATCTGTCATTGTATTAAAAAGGGCTGAAATTTAAAATAGTCTTAATTTATACACAAAATATTTGGATAAAAAAAAAGGCAGCACTAAACAATCTCGTGAAATAACAAAGCTCAGAAAATACAACAACATGAATCGTAAACTTGAACGAAGAGTTGAGGGAATAGTCTACTTTTTTACCCTGATGCAGATTAGAGGGGGAAAAAAAACTTTTATCTTATTTATTTTATCTTTTTTATGTCAATAATTTGGTATTTCCGTTATAACTCATTATTATTTGGTACGTATTTTTTCTATAAACCTATAAACTCTTTTTTACAAATGGTTTCCAGAACCTATAAACTGAATGTTTACATTTTGAAAGGCAATGCGGATTTTCGGTATTTGACTGTATTCAAAATCCGATGGCTCTAGGTGCTGTCATGTTTTCACAATGTGATAAACATAAAGATTTATCATTACTTAACAATAACGTCCTCTTTTTTTTTTACGATAAGCCCTCTTTTTTTTTCATAGCTCACCACTGATATTATTACCTATAATTCAGAAAAAATAATTATGCAGAGAAGATATTCTGATATATTTCAACAATGTTAATTATTACAATATGGCTCATGCATGGTAATTCAGGATTTGAAATAGTACCATTCTATTCATAACACAGAGTTTTGCTTAACTTTTACCTTTCAAATACCTTCTTCAGGTAAATGAATAATTTGATAGCAAGCACAAAAGGAAAAATTCTTTAATTACCTGCCATCCATTTGGCAAAGGATCATGCTGAACAACAAGTGTTACTTCTTCGACAGATGAACATAATGCATTAACAGCTTCAATATGAGTGGCTTTAGTTAAATCTGTATCATTAACCTATAATTATGGAAAAGAAGAATAACATCCATTTGTACATTATATATGCTAAAACACATGTAATATTTTGTTGTTGTTGTTTTCAAGTAAACATTTGTGATATTTTTTTTTTTTAATTATGCAGAACCAAAACAATTCTACAGCATTTTCTTGAGCAATCAGAAACTGCAAGCCCTAACAACAAAAAACAAAGATGCATTTCATAACATTCATTTCAGCTACTTACAGGTGATTATATCCCACACATGCATTAGAAAAGGCATGACTCACACCAAAAAATTATGACTTTTATGATATGGTTTGGTTTATTCGATTATGGCAAGGCACATTAGGGCTACCAGCCTAAGGGAAGGGATGCCTTCATGGAGGCTAAGAGAAGCTGGCTTGTATTCATGTTACACATGGGAAAAACCACAAAAATGATCATGCAGTCAACCCATTTGCCTGGAATCAAGTCCAGATTGAAGTATAAGTGTTCAGTGATTTTAATGTTTGGCCAGATGCAGGCTAATAATTTTTATGAGAAGATGTAATACACAAATACTTTTTCACAAGTCTTAGGTAAACCAGATGAAAAAATCTTTATAGAGAATAATGAAGAACATGGCTTTATAAAAAAACTAGTCAAGCACACAGATACATTGGTTTGTTTGGTTTATTTAACTATGGCAAAGCAAACTAGGGCTATCTGCACAAGGGGAGATGCCTTTGTGGAGGACTTTCTAAGGGAAACTGGCTCATATACACGTTACATATGGGGAAAACCACGAAAACACCCATGCAGCCAGCCCGTTCGCGGGATTCGAACCTCGAACCAGTGTTCAGCGACTTTACCACTCGGCTGGTGGGCATCACACAGATACAGGCAGAAGTGGGAAAGATAAAAAAAACAATGTTATCTCTTGTTGGACAGTTATAGTCCCACCAGGGGCGTGTTAAACCAGTTGGGGGCCCCTGGCAGTAAAATTTTTTGGGGCTCCCTGAAACGTATTTACTTTACCTAGTATGTGTTTGAAATATCAGTTTGCAGTTAGTGCTGTAGTATAATAAATAATTAAATACACATTATAACTTAATATTATACATATTTTCATAAAATTATAAATATTATTTTTAATTCCAAATATTAGTATATTTATTCAAGACTAAAAGACATAAAAATTAAAATTATATCAAAAAATTAAATATTGCGTGGGAAAGAAAATTAAAACATAAAACAGCTACTAAGACGACACAGATTTCACCCTCTATTAAGATTATATCATTATTATTGGATCATAAAATAATCATAATGTTAAAATTAAACACAGCATAAAACATTCATGGGGATGGCAATACCTTTATTAAAGTTGCTCAATTAAAGCTAACAGCTGAACTTTAACCATTTCACCGTCCAATAAAACTGAAATATTTGCCTTCTTTCTTTCTCCCCTTCACACTTCCCAAAGACATTTTGCATTTAAAACTGGCCTTAGAAATGTTTTTTTTACCTAATTTCACTGGCTGTCAAGACATATTTAGAAAGGCAGCCTACATAAAATGTGGCAGTACCATTCTGAAAGCAACTCAAGTGAATATCATTAGACGTAATATAAGAGGGAAAATAAAAGCATATTTGCAGTATGTCTCATTATTTATATCACAACTTTTCAACATCGCAAATAAATTTACACAACTTAAAAACAGCTTTTTGAAATGGATATAACTGTAAAGTTAATATACTTTTCCATTTGATTCTGTTTTATAAGTCTAGAATATTTGCTATAAGCTAATTTTCTTGCACTGAGAGATATCCAAATATCCAAAATAATATTTAATAATTGGAAATGATAACTCTGATTATTAACTTTAACTAATTAGAAATGTTAATGTTAGCTGTGTTAATCATAACAAAAAAAGTAAAAATATAATTTTGTATGAAAAATACATAAAGAGAATAGTTCAACATTTCATATGGCAATGATCTCTTGTCAGTATAATTCTTGCTGTCAAGCAGAATGAGACAGGGAAAAAAATCCCCCACCCGAATCCGAGGGTTAGCTAATAAAAAAAATGACAAATGCCAATTTTCATCCCTCATCTTTGCTTTCAATCTTCCGGAAGTCTGCAGGTGCTTTTTTCGAAAAATTTACCCGCTGTCATAAATTCACTAAACTTTCAGAAGAGTAGGCATTTGACACGTGGGTGGAGGATTTTCTTTTCTTGAAATATTGAACTCTAGTAAGGGTTTGTTTTCAAAGGAAAGAGAGGCAGGCATTCAGAAGTTAGAATCGATTTTTAGTACAATTTTATTCATAAAATTAAATTTTCAAGATAAAAATTCTGCTGAATTTGTTGTTCAGTTACATAAAAGAGCTTTTTATTTAGGGCGCTTTCTTATCCCTGAGCTTTCTTATTTAGGGCGCCGGTGCACTCCAGCTAGAATTATAATTTATCCCCAAAATTAATAAGTACCGAAGCTGGGTTCCAGTGGGCTGCATCATAATTTAAGTACTGCGCTATGCTTCCTTAACATCTTTTTCTGTTCTTGGAGAACTGGTCATCTAAATTTTCTAAATAATACTTTAAATAGAAAAAATTATATAATATAATATTAAAATTTATCTGATGCAACATCTTGCGTTTGTGTGTGCACACTGAAATAAGCAAGTGGTTTAATTTAATGTTTCTAAAAATATATTTAAAAGGTTCTTTGAAAACTATTTATCTACAAAACTGCTTAGAATACTAGCTCATATTTTACAGAACTCGTAACAATTTAGTTACATAGTTATTACATTAAAAATTAACGATATTAAGATAAATAATTATAAATTTTCTATTTTCATTTGGTTTAATTTAATACATAATTAGAAACACAATCAATGCATTTAGATTATTTTTAATAGCCCTTTCTGATACGATTTAAATGACAATGTTGACAGCAATAAAATAAATAAAATAAACAAGTAAATAAAATCAAATATAGATAAAAAGGATGATAAATAAAAATAATAAAATAATCCCAATTCACATATTAAATTACATTGAGAGTGAAGCTAAAGTAAGTAAAGTGAAGCTTTTATCCATGACCTAGAGTTGCAGAGGAGCAGATAAGCCATCTGTGAAAGCTAAATGAACCAGGATTATTTTATTATTATTATTAATTTTATTTATTATTTCAAAACAAAGTGTGGTGTTCAAGCACAAATCTGAATAAATGGAGATATAATCCTTCTAATAATCCCACAGAAAGAAACATCGAATCTTAAAAAAACAGTACCTCGTATGTTCTAATTGTTCTATGCAATAAATAAATATGAGGATTTTAAACAACAAATATGTATGAAGTTAAAATAATAACTAGTTATAACATTCTGTGCTATTTCAGTAAATGGTCAGAACACATATTATTTTACAACTCCCTTTATGAACTTTTAATCAAAAATGTATGAAAGACAATTTGCTGTCCTAAATCTGAAGTTCAACTGCAGATCAATATACCTAGATTAGAAAATCGTATTTGCCGCAGGAGTCCTGACTATCTTTACAATGATACTGATGATAACAACAGTGATAAAACTTAAGATCAACCCAATTTAATTTTTTAAGAAATAAGCATCTGAAAAACCTAACTAACACTATTCAATATAATTTGGTTCATTTATTTCTGAAATGCAAATTATGGCATAACATCCTTAAAAACATAGCAAGGACTCTAGATATGGCATGCTTCCAGATGAACTTCCAGTCCTTAATAAGTAAAAACATGTTATTAGAGCGGCAAAATATCATTTGGAAGGACTTCTAGGGCAGAAAGCAATCAGCTCTTCTGAAGAAAGGTAAATGATTATGGCAATGGCAAAATGCAAGACAGAAAGCTTCAGTCATCTGGGAAAAAAATTAAATGTTCTGAAACTGCCAGCAGAAGATAAGCAACCATTTCACAAGACACATTTTTGTCTATAACTGCCTATCATGACAGAATACTGACATTAGCAGAATTAATAGTTTGCAGCCATCACTGAAAATTCTGCATTATGGTAAAGTGCATCAAAAGGCTTGATGAGAAAGACTATGGAGAGCCAATGTTTCCTGCTTCAAAAATCTTCAAACCTACTGAGCTTCATCTCCCACTATCACCAGTAACTCCAACAACAGCAACAACACTGACCACCCATACCACCCTGAACGCAATCCTGGATGCGTTCCTCCTAAGCTGTAATGAAGATGAAGATACAAAAGCGAACGGATGACTACACGCCACAAATAAGCATTGTCCAGACTCAGAAAGCGACCTACCATTCACCCAGACTGATTTAAGGCAAATTATCAAAAATCTTAATAACAGGAAAGCCCCGGGCATCGATGAAATCTGCAATCAAATCGTTAAACTTATCCACAATACCAGCCCCTACATAATTCTACAGTTTTGCAACAAATGCCCTGAACTTAACAACTTAACAGAACTTCCCAGAATGTCTTAAAATGTATCAAATCATCCTAGTCTCAAAGAAAAATAAATCACCCGACAGTCCAAATGCTTATCGCTCAATAAATCTGGGATTCCCAGATTTAAGTTCTGGAATGCTATGTTGTTGGAAGGCTGATGTACCACTTCCATCATGAAGGACATATCAGCGACCAACGGTATCGGTTCAGAGAGCAAATATCCACTACTCATGTCATACAAGAAGTCCTAGACCAAGTTAATATCAATAAAATTGGCAATCTGCACTCGTTTGCCTTGATCTCAAAAATGCTTTTGATTTGTTACAGTAGCCCGCCATTCTTCAGTTTTTCCACAACATCCGCTGACCACTCACCATCTATAAAATCACTTAAAACTTACTCCAAGACTGCAACAGCATCATATTGCACAACACCACTATAACTGCTAAAGTACAAACACCTGGATGTCTCCAGGGAGCCTGCAAGAGCGCATATTTTTGGAACATCACATTCAGCGATATTATAAACCAAGAATGCCCCAACTTAGCCAAAATTAAAGGGTTTGCAGA